TGTCGCTCAATATGAAGGATGCTCCTCGATGGTCCTCGCCGAAAGAAAAAATGCACACGTCCAAGCGATGCCAAGCTCGTCCTCGCCGCTCTCAGCTAGAACCCGCGGAGCGCGTATGCTTGTTCAATGTTTGTCCATCCTTCGATGGATGGCCGGGGCCGGGCACAGCGGTGGTGCAGCCGCTGGTCGCAGGACGTAGGCGGAAGCACGCAGTAGGCAGGCGGATCTAACAGATCGGATGCGGGCCCGCCCAAGCAGAAAACCCCAAGCACTGAGCGCAGATCGATCACCGAAGCAGGAAGGCGTTGAAGTAGGAAGCACGAAGCAGGAAGGCGGATCTAAGGTACTGGATGCGGGCCCACCCAAGCAAGAACAACAGGCCCAGAGCGCAGATCGATCACTGAAGCAGGAAGGCGTCTGAAGTCGATCGGCACCTGGATCTGTCGCCGCGCCGCTTGTGCTCGACGCGCCCAAGTGGACGACGCCGACACCACGGCAAACCAATGGCAAAGCAGCGGCAGACCTGCGCCCCGCGCCCCAGCGGACGAGGCCCCCGCCGCGGCACTCCCACGGCAAAGCCACCGCGCCTGGCGCGGCAGTTGCCCTGGTGGCCGCGGCGCCCTAAGATACCAGGCCGCGCGTCGGAACAAGCGGCGTGACGACACATGCCGATTCTTGCACTGGGAAGGCGCTTGAAGTAGACTGATCTCTGGACATCCCCAATTGCCTACTTTCAACGACTGGCGCGTATGGATGCCCTCTGCGGACGCTGCCCCCCTGGGAGGGCCGTGCACCTCGCCGCACCCCCGTTGGCGCGCGCCGCGGGGCCGCGGCGGCGGCTGCGTCGTCCAGTCTGCCGAAGCCCATCCGAATGTCGACGAGGCGAAGACGAGGAGGGCGACGACGACAGCAACGACGAGGGCGACGACGACGACGACGACGATGACGGCTACGACAAGGGGGGCGAGGACCACGACGACGAAGAGGTTGACGACGCAGTGGGCGACAACGGCAATCACGAGGGCGACGGCGACGACGACCCCAAGGGGCGTGTCGGGCACAACGGCACACATACCCGTCGGTGGAAGCAAGAGGTCGAGACGTGAAGTGGGAAGGCGTTGGAAGCAGATTGGGCCTCCGCCCACACCCCGAAGAGGAAAGAGGAGGGAACGCCGCTCAACGCTTGAAGCAGGAAGGCGCTTCAAGTAGACTGGGACCTGTGGTCCAAACGTACCCGTGGACCGACCTGTACTCTCTTCGGGGGGGAGCCCTGCGGGGGGGGGGAGGCGAGCTCGTGGGGAAACCAAGAGGTACCGATTACCGCTACTCCCCGGACCTCTCCTGGGGGTCGTTCTGACCAGGACGTCGAGGCGAATCCAGCGGTGGCGACGAGGGCCTCCGAGGAAGCCCCAAAGAGGGGAAAACGAGGAGAGGGTAGAGGTATGGGTACCTGTTCCTTGAGCAGGTACCGACCGTCCCAGCATTCCCATAGTCCCACCACGAAATGTTCTTAGAGCCCCAAAATGTTCTAATTCGCCGGCCCAACGGGCCAGAGGCGTGCTAAGATCTCCGGTAACTGGTTAACAATTTTCTAGTTCGCGCGCGCGGGGCGGCCCCTGGGGGTCCCCGGACGAAAAGTACCCCGACCAGGTCCCGGCCGGGTCCCCCCGAGCGCTCCATGAGCGCACCAACAGGGCTCCGAGACGTCCCCGAGAGCCCCAAGAAAGGCCAAGAGGCCCCCAAGAGGCCCCCAAGATGGTACACGAGGGGTCCGACATGCCACAAGATCGCTCCAAGACGCCCAAGATAGCCCCCAGACGCCCCAAGAGGCCTCCAAGAGCACTCCCAATAGGGCCCCCGGAGGCAAAAATCATTGTTTTTCCATAGGTTTTTGAGAGATTTTGGAGCTTCCACCTTTTCGGCTTCCCGACGCCCCAAGACGGCCCAAGAGGCCCCCAAGATCGCCCCAAGAGGGCCCAAGAGGCACCCAAGAGGGCCCCAAGATGGCCCAAGAGGGCTCGAAGACGGCCCAAGAAGCCTCCAAAACGGTCCAAGAGGGCCCCAAGAACGCCCCCAAAGGGGCCCCAGAGAGGGAACACGAAACAACATTTCGAGCCCTCGGCCCTAAGAAGCCCCTACGAGGCCCCTAAGAGGCCCCAAGAGGCCCCCACGGGGCCCTCAGGAGGCCCCCAAGAGTCCCCCAAGCGGCCCCAGGAGGCCCCCCAAATGCCCCCCCGAGCGCCCCAGGAGTGCCCCAAGCGGCCCCAGGAACCCCCAAAGCGCCGCATTGACACCAGGCCCTCGGGCAAACGGCAGACATGAGACTGTATGGGCCGGCGGAATGAGCGAAGCGATTAAATAACCAAAACAATGTTCTTAGAACAATATCCGCCAGAAATGCTCTAAGAACATTTATTCCGTGGGAACCACAGACGGTTCTTGGAACATTGCTTGCTTCGGCGAAAAGGCGAGCCAGGACGCTTCGCCACTGCTTGATTGCCTCCGCTGAGCTTCAGACTTCAGGGGTGCCGCGGGGAGAGAGCAGCACGCACGGAGCTCGACGGGCGGCAACGGCCCGGGCAAGGCAGAACTTCCACGGGACGCTCACTTCTGCTTCCGCTTCCTGGAGCCGCCGTCCTCCGCGGCCCGCGGGCCCGTGCCACCGTCTGGCTCGCTCTCGTCCTCGCTGTCGGAGCGCTCGTCGTTCTGGACCGTCCCGCCCTTGCACGCCCTCTTCGCGACCTTGAGGATGAGGTAGAACCAGAACAGGTGGATGGGGTAGAGCATGACCAGGCAAATCTTGCAAATCCACTGGTCGGCGGTGGCGTCCCAGACGGGGACCTTCCCCGGGTACATAACGTTATGGAACCAAACGTTATAGACCACGACCGGGTACATGACAAGTCGCGAGATCAGGAAGACCACCAGGGCGATCCCGAAGTTTATGTCAGCGAGGACGTGTAGAGGGCCTTTTAAGGCATAGTGACAGCACTTCGCCATGTTCAAGAACGGATCGAACAGATTGTGCAAAGTCATTACGACGATGCCGACGCGGATGTAACCGTAGGTGTAGGACGTGAAAATGAGCACGCATGTGATGGCATGGTGCGAGAGCATCTCGAGAAAATCCCCCCTGCGCTTCTTCAGAAACAGAACTACAAAACCCGTCGCATACCAGCCAAACTCGATCGCGTAATACGTCCGCATCTCGCGCGCGCAGCGGTACACCGGCGGGGAGGGGTGACCCTCCGGGGTCTCCTCCGTCAGGGTGTCCCAGCTGGAGGGCCAGTACCTTCTCAAGCCCAAAGGGAGCCCATACCACTGGTACCCCGGACCTCTCCCGGGGTGCATTCTGACCAGAACTCCGAGGCGCATGCAGCAGTGACGACGAGGGCCTCTCAAGGGGCCCCAGACGGGCCAAAACAGGGCAAGCCCTGACTCCAGATCCGCCGTACTTTGGCTTTTTTCCCAACTTAAAACTGCATCGGAAATCCACCTATAAGAAGCCGAAAAAGTAGGGCGGAAACTTCTGCACCCAACATAAAGTAGGGCGGAAATCCACAGAAGTAGGGCGGAAACAGCAACAGAAAAGCAGGGCGGAAGTTGGCATCAGCGGGGCTTGAAAAAGGGAGGCAACAATTCCAGGCCCTACTTACGAATTTCCCCAAAGTAGGGCGGATCCGGAGTCAGGGAGGACAGCGGCATCGGTATACCGGTTCCTCCCCTGAAGACCAGCTGGTCCCGCTGAACAGGCGGTAGCTCACGAACACCTGGGCGGCGGAGACAAGTAGACCTTGCGCACGATGGCGCAGCGAGCCCACGCCACGGCCAACGCGGGCCGCCCGCGAGGCGCAGCGTGTGGAGACGAGAGCGCTCCTGCGCGAAGGGTCCGCGAGGTCGACCGCTCTGACTTTGAGGGCAGCTCCGGGCGGAAGCATCGGCGATAGATCGGCGACACGCCGAAGACAGATCGGCGGTAGAATCGGCGGTAGAATCGGCGGTAGAATCGGCGATAGATCGGCGATAGATCGGCGATAGAATCGGCGATAGAATGTGCGAAGAATCGGACGGAAGAACCGTCAGTGCGAGTCGGCGGCACGCCGGCGACAGCTCGGCGGCAGGCGCCCGGCGGCGAAGCCGCGCGCTCCTTTTAGCGGGGTGGGCCGCTATCGGGCCTCTGCCGGCGACGGAGGGGCGAGTGGGGCTCGATGCACTCCCCCTGAGCCTACAGTCGGGGCGTTGGCCTAAGGAACCCCAAATAAGGAACGAGGCCCCCTTTTTTCCATAAGTTAAACTTCGATTTCCCATCGAAAACATGAGGAACACCTGAGGCAAGCTGCGAAACACTTAAGGAACGCGGAGCCCCTCCCCAACGAAAAGGGTTCCTTCTTCAGGGCCCCGACTGTATCCCCCCTCGGGGATCTTCTGACCCGGGTCAATCCAGACCAGGGTCAGCAGGAAACCAAAACCCTGCAACGCAGGAAAAACAAAACCGCAACGCAGGTCTTCGCAAACCCGGGTCCGCCAATATTCGCGACCGCCTCGCGGCCACGAGCGGCTCGCTAACCCGGGTCAGCCAGAGGGGGTCTTCGCAGGATCCTGCAGGATCTGGTGCCCCGGCTGCCCCCCGTTTGCATCGACCCCCGCCTCGAGGCCCCCGACCCCCCAGGCGTCCTCGTCGTCCGGCTTTCGGGCCATGACTCTGCTCGCCAACGGCCGTTCGGGGCGATTCGGGCACCCCCGGCGCGCTCTGGGCGAGACGCAGCTGCTGGAAAGCATCCCGAGGCTGGAAGGCCGCCAAGAACCTCGCATCTCTAACGTTTGGGGGGCCCATGCGTCCCCCCACTGGGCCTATACCCCCCCCTAACAGTGGGAGCTCGACCACAGGAAACCTTTCACAAGAGACCCACACCTGAGACCCCAGGGCGTCCATGGACTTGAGGTGTGGGACTGTGGGAACGTCGCGCTCGCCGTAGCAGAACTATCGACACCCAAGAAAGCCAAGGCACCCTGGAGGCAAGCAGGGGGGGTTCTTGACATGGGTTCCTGCTGTGGATTTTTGCTCGACGCGGCGAGCAAAAAACGAAGTGAATTTCGCGTGGATTATTTGTTGGTCTTGATTCCAAGCCAAACAACACTTGATATTCACCTCGAAATCCGGAACGAAATTCTGCAGGACACCCCGGGCCCACCCTATCGTTTTCCAACGAAATCCGCTCTGCGATACTGGCGCCATGACAAGGCAGGGGGTTTCGTGGCATGTGTTCCCACTGTGCACGTGGCCTCTGGTTCTTCCGTCGCTCACCTGGACAGCAAAGTACACGGCCTCGCCCCATGCGGTGCAGAACCTCTCGCGCTTGGCCAGCCGCCTCGCCGGGCGCAGGCCGATGCCCACCCCGAGCGCGGCCGCGATGACCCAGCCGGCCGCCTCGATGGCCTGACGAGAGGGGAAAGATGGAAGAAGAAACGTTTGGCGCCCCGCGCGGATCTCTTAGATTCGCGCTGGGCCCCCCTCCCTGGCGCGCGGAGCGCGCCAGGGGGCGCCAGTGGCGGCGCCGGAGGCGCAGCCGGGGGGCCTGGGCGCGGATCCAAGAAATTCGCGCGGAGCGCAACAAATATATGTTTATGTGCGAACGGAAGAAGACATCGACCCAGAAACCCGACGTCTCGACGAACATCAAGAGAGGAGGTGCTTCGTGATTTTCAGCCTCCGCAGGCCCTCACTGGGCCTCGGGACCGTCAAGCATCGGCTCGGGATGAGAAGCTGGCCCTGGGAAAAGGGCGAGACTCCTGGGGGCTGGGGCAGCGCCTGGGTAAAGCCCAGACATCGGACGCCTGGGGCTGCCGCCATCCACTATCGGGGAGACGTAAGACCCGGGTACGGGGGACTCGGAAATCCCCGACGAGGTCGCCAAAAAAATGACGAGGCCGAGCCTGCATTTTGACGAGGCCTCCCGCTGCAGACATCCCACGAAACTTCTCCTCGTCAAAATCCGAGGCGCGGTCGTCAAAAAACGATGGCGAACCCGAGTCCTGGCAAACCCGGGTCTTACGCTCCCCCGACACTAGGAGAACCTCACCCAGTGATGAAGAACCCCCCCGGTGATGTCAATCGCACCGCACCGCACCGATTTCAACAGCTTCAGGGGGGCTTCAACCGAACGACCTCAGCACCGCGGCCCTCTTGCCTTGGAGCACGTGTGTTTACGCGTGCCACGGCTGCCGGGAGGACGCCCCGCGGCGCGGGAAGCTCTATATCCGTTTTCCGGGAAGGGGGGGGGTCCTCCTCACTGGGTGAGGTTGGACACATCGGGCAAGAGATCCGGCTGTAAGGGATCTTTGGGGCGCACTGTTCGCGAATCGCCGAGGCCCCGGGGGCGTCCCAGACCTTCTGTGGCCACCTGGGGCCCTCGGGGGGGATGGGATTAGGTCGGGAATGTCCCCCTACAGGCGGATTCTGGACGAGAAATTGACAATAGTCACAAAAAAAATGGCCAACAGTATTGAAAAGACAGTCCCCGGATTATCTTTTGGACTATGTTGGGAATTTTCCTCCTGTATATGGACCGGCCCGACTTACGGATAGGACATGATCGCGGCGGGGCACCTGCCGGCAGGTGCCGATACCTTACTCGATGCGCCTCCCGTGCCGATGCCGCCACCCTGAGCTCCCCGCGTCGCACTTGCGTCAAGACGGTGGGTTTTGACGCGCTTCGGGCCCAGGGGCCCTCACTGAGTATCGTTCAACCGATCCCCATGCCAGCGGCGTGGCCTGGGCCCCACTGGCCGATTTACCCCCCTAGATGGGAATACAAGTCGTTCCCTTCGAGTTCCGAAGGGTGTATCCCCAACTGGGGTGGTACTTCAGTGGGGGTCTCGAAAGGGATGGAGATGGGGAGGGGGATTGGTTAAACGATACCGACTCACGGATCCATCCGGTTCCAAGCAGTGCAGCAGAGAGTGAGAGGGGCCCCAGGCTCCGGTCGAGGTTTCCCGACCATGCTGCAATTCTGTCCGCGACGCAGGAACTCAGGGCACTCCGTAGGACCGCTGATGGGGCGCGTTCTGACCAGGACTGCGGGAAGGATCCGGCCGTGGCGGCGGCAGAGGGACCAAACACTTCGTGAACAGGAAGTTCCAGAGGTCCGCGCAGCGTTCTGGCGCCAGGGATGGCACCCCACCCCCAGTGGACCCATGCACCGTCGGTCGTCGAGCTCTGAACTTTGGGAGATGCGCCAGGGCTTCCGTGGGCCCCCCCGGGGCAATCAGGAGGTGAGAATCTCCCGTGAGGCACCTGCTGGCAGGCTGGTTTCGTTGAAGGGGCCCCAGGACACACAAATAAATACACACAAAAGGTTTCCCCGTATTTTCCCATATTTTCTGGGTTTTTGTCTTCCCCCCACTTCCCATATTTTCTTATATTTTCTGGGAAATCGACGATCAAGTGTGTCTGTGTTTTTTCCCCTCCTGATTCATGCTTGACGAGCCCGCAGTATGTTACTCTCCGGCTGCATGGAGGACGAAGAGCACTGATACGCTTAGAGGGACGTCAGCGAAAGGGACTTCCGAGACCGCGGCGCTGCATCTCAGACTGACTCCGAGGAGTGCGAGCGACGGCGTCGTGCGGCGACCCTGTGGGCGAAGCCGAGCGGACCTGAGAAAGCGGCATCGCCGGTCTCAAAGGTCCCTCTCCCTGGGGCCCCTCTTGTCGGCTACACGCAAGAGTGACCCTGGGTAAGAGTGACCTTTGGTGCGCGGCTTTTGGGGGGCCGCGGGGGGACCAAACCTGGGCGCGCTGGCCGCTGCTCCTGCCTCGTTTTCAGCCACCTGGGGGCCCATCTGTGCCCGCACCAGAGGCCACTCCTGCGAAAGGACACTCTTACGTCTAGTCGATCTTGGAGCGGCACGAAGCCTACGGTTAAGTCGGGCCGGTCCCCCTACAGGGGGATTCTCGACGTAACGAATACCCCAAAAGTATTCCAAAAAGGCAAAAAATATACCCCCCAAAACAACCCCCAGACTATGTTTGGACTCTTTTTGGACTATTTTTCATTTCTCGTCGAAAAAATCCCCCTGTAGGGGGACAGGCCCGATCTAAGTCTAGTCGGTCTTGCAGCGGCGCGAACCTCACGATTGTTGGACTATTTTGGGGTATTTCTTATTTTTCGTCGAAAGATCCCCCTGTAGGGGGACGGGCCCGACCTAAGCCTATTTTGGACGATTGTTGGACTATTTTGGGGGTATTCCTTAGAAAACATCTCCCTGCAGGGGCACAGGCCCGACCTAAACCTATAGCCGATCTTGCAGCGGCGCGAAACCCGACGGTCGGGAGCTTCTGCTCGGCGCGTCGCCGCGGCGGCCCCGGCGACACGCCCTCGGCCCTGCTCGGCGGACCGCCGCGGCGCGCCGGCCCGCGCTCCGCGGGGCGGGGAGAGGCTGGGCAGAGTGCTCGGGGGCGTGTGCTCAGGTCGGGCCTGTCCCCCTACAGGAGAATTTTTTCGACGAGAAGTATGACAAATAGCTCCAAAATAGTCCAACAAGCGTCCAAGAATAGTCTGGGGACTATGTCAGGAATATTTTTGTTTGCCTTTTGGGGGTATTTTTTTCATCCAAAGTCCCCCTGTAGGGGGGACAGGCCCGACTGCACCGTGGGCACGCGGGGGCCGGGCCGAGGAGGGCGCTCCCAGGGGCTCCCAGCGTCGCGCGCTCGCGCCTCCGCGCCGCGCGAGGGCGCGAAGAACTTTCCGCGCGCTCGCGCCGCCGCACCCCCCCCAAGAGGGAGAAGAGGAGGACGGGGAGGAGGAGGAGAAGGAGCGAGGGCTTCCCAGGGGGCACAGGAACATCCAACAAGCACGAACTAACACCAAGGCCGCGCGGACGACGCGGTTGGTTCACGGCGATGTTAGGCATCTGATTTTTGTGACACCGAGCTCGCGCAGAACAACTTGTAGGAAATCACGAAACACACTTTCCTACAATTCAAATGTGCGAATGTATCGAGCGAAAACGACGCAGCGAATTGTAGGAAAGCGCGAACCACGATGGCCTACATTTGCTTTGGCCGCGAACCAGTCCCAGGTGCAGTGCCGAAGCCTGCATCGCCGTTGCCTGCATTACCGTTCGCGCGTCTACGGGAACATGGAGGGCCCCCTCCCCGAACCGACCTCGAGCTCACACCTCGGTCCGACCGCACGGGTGGTCAGGCCCAGCTTCGCGCCTCGGAACCCCGCGGTGCGCGACGCGCGGCAATCCTTCACGCCATCGCGCCCGCTCCCCGCCCTGAAAAAAAAAATACGGTCGGGGCGTTGACCTAAGGAACCCCAAAATGAGGAACGCGGCCACCTCTTTCTCTCCATAAGCTGAGCTCCGATCCCCCAACGAAAACGCAAGGGCAACCTTGGGCAAGCTGTGAAACAAATACAGCCAACCCGCAGAGTAAGGACGCGCGAAGAGGATGCAAGGCTCTCGGACGCCCATCCCGAAGCGTCTCGAGCGGGGCGCGGCCCACGAAGGCGTCCAAGGATGGACCCGGGAAGCAAAGGGCTGCCAGGAAGCGACGAGGACAACCCTGGGCAAGCTGGGAAGCAAGCAAAAAAGAAACCTCGAGCCCCTCCCCGACGACAGAGCTTCCCTCTCCAGCGCCCCGACTGCAGCCGCCCTGGCACGCACCGCGACCGCGCGACCAGGCGCGAAGATCCCCCCGCGTGCCCCGGCGCGGGCAGCGTCGAGTGTGCGCGCGCCCCGCGGCGCCCCGCGGGTGCGCGCGCCCCGAACCGCGCAGCGGCTCCGCGCTGGCCGGCCTGCTTCCTGCCAGCGCTCGGGGGCGTCTTCTGACCCGGGCCAATCCAGGCCCGGGTCTTCTGACCCGGCCCAATCCAGACCCGGGTCAATCTACGAGGGGTCACACCAGAAAAATTGGCAGACGCTACAGGAATTGTAAGGGGTCCCCTGGGGCTTCTGTGGGCACGGTTCTGGCCATGAAAAGGTGCAACAGACGCACACATCGACCCCCCCTGGCGCCTGCATGTTTCGGGGAGCTTCTGACCCAGGTCAATCCAGACCCGGGTCAGCAGGAAACCCAAGAAACTGTAAGGCAGGAACAAAAAAAAAACTGCGTCGCAGGTCTTCGCAGACCCGGGTCGGCCCATAGGCGCGGCCGCCTCGCGGCTGCGAGCGGCTTCGCTGACCCGGGTCAGCCAGAGGGGGGTCTTCGCAGGACCCTGCAGGACCCAGCGCCCTGGCTGACCCCCGCTTGCCCTGACCCCCGTCTCTTGGGCCCCGGCCAGCGCTCGGGCGTCCTCTCCCGGTGCATGTTTGTTTTTTCGGTTCCGTGCGCGTCGGCCCCCCGGAGAGAGAGCAAGCCAAGGTGGTCCTCGAGGGTCCTCGCCGAGGAAGAAAAACGGGCACACGGCCGAGCGGTGCCGAGGCCTCAACCGTCTGCCGCGCTGGTCCGCCGTGCCGCTCCACCGTCGTCGAACTGTTGGGGCCTTCTGCGAGACGATTGGGGAGCAGCAAGCGCACGATGCCGCTACGTGCTCTCTGGACCTCTCCGTGGCCACGCTCTGGCCAGGATGCTGAACAGAAGCCGGCCGTGTCGACGAGGCATCTCCGCGACGGGCAGCGGCATCGGTTGATCTCCTCCGATACGCATCCTTTTTGGGCATATGTCTTCCTCGTCCGATACGTGTCCTTTCCTCCCCCCCTGAGAACCGAAATGACAACGTAAATTTAAACATACCCCATCATTCTGCTACATTTTCCGAACAGCATCGAGCCGGTCCCGGAGCCAGAAACGAGGCAAGGTCGCGCAAAACAACAACGCCAGGGTCTCAGGGCCCGGCGGCCTGAAGCACGAACCACATGGCCGCGGCGGCCAGCGTTAGGGGCAGCAGCGTCTCTGGCCGTCTCACGGACACGTCCACGGGCACCACGTCCCCCACGAGGCCGCCCGCCTGCGGGGGCCACGCGTGTGCACGCTGAGGTGTGCAGGCCTTCGTCCGAAGTGCACACATGAAGGGGCACCAGGACACACACAAAAAAATACACACAAATAAAAGGATTCCCCATAGTTTCCCATATTTTCTGGATTTTTGTCTCCCCCCCCACTTCCCATATTTTCCCATATTTTCTGGGGAATCGACGATTAATTGTGTGTGTGTGTGTTTCTTTCCCTCCTGAACACATCTTGACGAACGTCTCGCGCTCGCGAGCCTACCCCGAGGAATGTCGGCTCGTTTTTTTTGTCAGCCGCCCCCAACAGCGCCGCGCACAACCAAGCTCGGACTGCCTGCCTGCGCGGAGTTGAGGAGAACGGCGCCCCTGCTAGAAGCGCTCGGGCAGGAGGGCGCAGGACAGCGGAGGGCCGGACAACGCAGGACCTATACGTATCTTATGCAGTGCGGGCGCGGCCACAAGAAACCCTCGCAAGAAACCCAGCCTCCTCCTCCTCCTCCTCCTCCTCCTCCTCCTCCTCCTCCTCCTCCTCCTCCTCCCCCTCCCCGTCCTTCTCCTCCCTTTCCCTCCTCCTCCTCCTCCTCCTCCTCCTCCTCCTCCTCCTCAAGAAACCCAGCCCTGAAAACCCGCGCGCGAGGTGCACCTGAGGGGAAACCCAGAGCACCCTGAACGCACCAGCTCCTTCAACGGCTGCGGGAAGTCACCGCGCAGCTCGCGGAGCGAAGAAACCAAGGATGCCCCGACGAAAATCACGTGGTTTCTTGATGCGCAACCCCACTGTGGCAGAGGCCTCCTGGACCAGAAAACAAACGACACCACCCCACCTACGGCCCCACGGGGCTTGGCGTATACCACGAGGTCTGGCGTGGATGTTTGCGTGGTGTGCGCCACCGCGCCCGATGGGCCGTGCCGTAGCGAAACATGAAGGGCCGTAGGTGGGGTGGTGTCGTTTGTTTGCTTGGTCGAGACGTGGGGTCCTAGCAAATGGGGTCGGAGGATCAGACCGCATCGCCAGTACGTCGTCGTTGCCTCGAGGGCGCCTCGGCGACTTCGGGAAGGCACGGGCAATGTCGGTGTGCAGAGAGTCGGGCTGAACATCGCGCCGCATCGCCGATGGATCGGCGATGCGCCGCGATGCTCCGACCCCGTCTACTCCGACCCAATCTGGGAGGACTAGAGCGAACTTTCCCCGACGAATGTCATTTATGCAGTGTGCGGTGGCGGTTGCGAGCGTAGTTGCGTGAAAAGCCGCACGCAGCACGACGCATGTCGTCGTCGTCGTCGTCGTCGTCGTCGTCGTCGTCGTCGTCGTCGTCGTCGTCGTCGTCGTCGTAGGTCGTCGTCGTCGTCGGTGTCGTCGTCGTCGTCGCCGCCGTCGCCGTCGTCGCCGCCGCCGCCGTCGTCGTCGTCGTCGCCGTCGTCGTCGCCGTCGCCCGTCGTTGTCGTCGTCGTCGCCGTCGTCGTCCCGACGCCTGCACCGACCCCAGCAGCTGCGCCACGTCGCCGAGGAGCCCCGCCCCCGCCGAGAGCACCGCGGAGCCGGCCATCGGGTCCAGCGGCGCGCGGATGACGCCACCGCCGAGGCTGCGTCCTGGTACAGAGGTTTGTCCAAGCCTCTGTCGTCGTTCTCGTCGTCGTCGGCGTCGTCCTCGTCCTCGTCCTCGTCGTCGTCCTCGTCGTCCTCCTCGTCCTTCTCGCCTCCTCCTCCTCCTCCTCCTCCTTCTCCTCCTCCTCCTCCTCCTCCTCCTCCTCCTCCTTTTCCTCCTCTTACTCCTCCTCCTCTTACTCCTCCTCCTCGTCTCAGACTCGTTCATGTTCGCATGATGTCGATGTTCCCGTTGGTTCCTGGAGGCTGCCTCGCCTTGGGGTGCGTTCCTGCGGCTGTAGCTCGCCGAGAGCGTCCCGAAAAACCGCCGGAGGCTGGAGTTATGGAGTGACCAAATCGGAAGTTTGGGAGGGCGCCAAATCGGGAGACGTCGGCGGACCACCTCGCCGATCCCTGGCGGGGAACTCTTCCTGGGCCTGGGATCGGAGGCGAGGGCGTCGCCCAGGCTCCGTCGTGCCGTTTTTGGCCCTGGGCGCCTCCGCCCCCTGCCCTTTCTTTTACTCCCTACCCCATCCATCCTCCCCAACCTTCAGCCCTTCATCCGTGTCCTTTCCTCCCCCCCTCCTCATCCTCCTGATCACTGTCCTCCCCCATCCCTCTTGAGGGCGAATCGGGCGGGTCGCCTGAGACCCTCTCGCATCACTCACCATCCAAGTGGCAGTTGACAGCAATCAACCACACGAAAGGGGCATTTGTCTTTTGCAAAATGTGGCATCGTCTGATTGCCGCGCACTTTCGATGGCGTAAGATGCAGTGGTGGAGGGCACAGTGCTCTCTCGTGACATTGTTTGTCCAGGGCGCCTCCGCCGCCTGCCTCCTCTGCTCCTCCCTCCCCCCCCTTCGTTCCCCCCCATTCACCCATACCCCGCCCTCCCTCTCACCTCCACTCCTGTTCCGCCCCTCCTTCTCCTCCTCCTCCTTTTTCCTGTTCTCCTCCTCCTCCTCCTCCTCCACCTCCGTCTCCTTTCTTTTTTCCTTACAACAATAAAACATATCCCTGTCGCATCCCGGGGCCCCGCCTGGCTTTGCTTGCGCACGTTCGTTCTTAAACTTTGCAGGAGGTCCACATGGTCCTGAGATGATCGCACGAGAAATATGTGTTTGGAAGAGGGTTCGGGATCACGAGTGTGCAATGGCACGATTCGGGATCGTCAAGACGCAACAGTCAGATGCATCCTTGGCGCTGGAATCCAAATATATTCGCATGATGCAGGGTCTCCAAACGATTGTCCTCCAACGACGCAGCTCCCTCACTGGATATGAAACAACGAGGGAGTTCGGGGGGATGGTTATTCCACTATCGTTGGTGATTCTTGGATTTACACAGGTTCCCCCCCTCCTCCACGTCCTGCTGATCCTCTTCCTCCTCCACCTCCTCCTCCCCCTTCCCCGCCTGCCTCCTTCGCCTCCTTCCTTCCCTTTTCCCCTCCGGCCTCCTTCTTCTTCCTCCTCTTATCCCCCCTCTCCGCCTCCTCCTCTTCCTCCACCTCTTCCTCCCCCCCCTTCCCCCCCATTATCCCCCCCTCCCTCCCTCCCCCCTCACGTCCTCCTCCTCGTTTTCCTCCAACTCCTCCTCCCCTTTTCCTCCCCTCCTCCTCCTCCTCCTCCTCCTCCTCCTCCTCCTCCTCCTCCTCCTCCTCCTCCTCCCCCTCCGCCTCCTCGTCCCTTTGCCCCCCCCTCGCGTCTTTCCTTCCCCCTTTCCTCCAACTCCTCCTTCCCTTCTCCTCCTTCACGTTTCCATATGCATGAAGCTGCCGGGGAAACCCAGATTTTCATATCATGTCAGGGCTGATGATAGCTGAAATGAAACATGCGAGGATGACGCTGGTGGCCGCTGCCCCGCCGATGCTGTTGGCGGCGCCGGCCAAGAGGAGAGGAGGTCGCCGAGGGTCCCTTTCCAGGGCGGCAACAGGCTCTTCGGTCACGCAGGACACGGAACGAGATTTTCGTCGAAAAGCATCCGACAGCGCCCAACTCGCAAACATTAGAAAACCCCTTGGACGGAGAGTCTCTGGGAGCGCTCTTCGAAAGAAAATCTCTAGGCGGGGGCCGCGCTTGTGCGCATGCCCATCGCATGCTAACCTCGACGCCTGCGCCTGCCATGGGCATCTTCCGCTGCAAACACGGAGACGGCAGCGCGCCCACGGCGCATTCGGGCGGCATGATCAGCGCGGGCGGCAAGGCAGCGCAATATTCGAGCCGTTTTGAGCCCGGGTGGCTACAGCTCTGACGGCCACGCGCGCCGCGCTCTCCCGCCCCGGCACGGACGCCCCAAAAGCTCTCAGACCCTGGCGCGCATAGGGGCCGCGGTGAGGGACCCCCCCCTGCGGACCCACTATGGTGTCGAGACACGCCTGCCACGCTCTCAGACCCTGGCACGCATGGGGGCCGCGGTGAAGGACCACCCCCTGCGCGCCCTCTACGGTGTCGAGAAAGTGCCGCGCCTGTCACGCTCTCAGACCCTGCCACGCATAGGGGCCGCGGTGAGGGACGACCCCCTGCGCACCCCCCGCGGTGTCAAGAAAATGCCACGCCTGCCGCGCTCTCAGACCCTGGCACGCATAGGGACCGCGGTGAGGGATCACCTCCTGCGCACCCCGTTTGGTGTCGAGAAAAAGCTACGCCTGCCATGCTCTCAGACCCTGGCACGCATAAGGACCGCGGTGAAGGACCACCCCCTGCGCACTCTATGGTGTCAAGAAAGTGCCGCGACTGCCACGCTCTCAGACCAGGGCGCGCATGGAGGCCGCCGTGAGGGACCACCCCCTGCGCGCCCACTATGGCGTCGAGAAAGTACCACGCCTGCCACGCCCTCAGACCCTGGCACGCACAGGGGCTGCCGTGAGGGACCACCCCCTGCGCGCCCTCTACGGTGTCGGAAAAATATTACGCCTGCCACGATCTCAGACCCTGGCACGCATAAAGGCCGCGGTGAGGGACCACCGCCTGCGCGCCGCACGGCGTCAAGAAAGTGCCACGCCTGCCGCGCTCTCAGACCCTGGCACGGATAGAGGCCGCCGCGAGCGAACCCTCGGCCCTCGAAGCACGCCCCAGACCAAGACATGCGACTAGAGGCCCAGCAGAGGTCGAAGTAGATGGGTCGGAGGATCTCGCCGCATCGCCGATACATCGGCAATGCATCGGCGATGCGCCGGCGATGCGCCAGCGACGCATCGTCGACGTCGGCGGTGCGTCGGCGACGCCGGCGTGGAGCAAATCGGGCTCCGCGTCGAGTCGCAGCGGCGATGCGTCGGCGACGCGGCGAGGCCCTTCGACCCCATCTACTCCGGCCCCATCTGGGAGGCCTAGAGCGACGCCCTGATTTGTCCAACACGCGGCCCGCGACGGCCCCGACCCTGCCCCCCGGGACCGGCCCATCCACCCGAAGTGTTTCGCCCGCGGGCGAAGGCCCCGAGAGCCGAAAATATCACCAAGAAACTCACGGCTTGATTGGGCACGTTTTCAATTAAGCCGAACTCTAAACACAGGTGCTTTTTCCTACCCCGCTCTGAGCCTGGTCAGCTCTGACCGGCATGCAGAACAGCTTTTTTCAATTATTCTCTTTCGCAAGGTCGCCGCGCCCTCGGGCCAACAACGCGGCGAACTTCGCGCGAGCGGCGCCTCGCGCCAACGCGCGCGATCCATGCCCACCGCGAATCCGCTAGCCCGCCGTTGGCCCCGAAAGATGAAATGGCGCGCTGGGGGTTGGGCCGGAGTCGTTTGCCCTGGTGCGGAAGCCGCGCGCAAAAAGAGCCTCGCACGCGCGGCGCCGCGTCATCGCGAACGCGAGCCGCAACGAACACGCGCGGCGCCAGCGGCAGGGTTCGCATGGCGGCCTCGGGCCATATCGGCACGCCCCTCACGAGGATCGTGGCCACATAGGGAGCTTCACCGAAGGCGCCAATGGCAGGGTTCGCATGGCGGCCTCGGGCAATTTCGGCGCACCCCTCACGAAGATCGTGGCCCCATAGGGAGCCTCACTGAAGGCCCCCAGTGGCAGGCTTCGCATGGCGGTCCTGGGCCATGTTGGCACACCCCGCACGAGAATCGTGGCCTCATAGGGAGCTCAACCCGAGGCCCCCCGTGGCAGGGTTCGCATGGCGGCCTCGGGCCATTTCGGCACACCCTTCACGGGGATCGTGGCCCCATAGGGAGCTGCACCCAAGGCGCCAGTGGCAGGTTTCGCATGGCGGCCTCGGGCCACGTCGGCGGACCCCCCACGAGGATCGCGGCTACATAGGGGGCTCCACCGAAGGCGCCCCGTGGCAGGGTTCGCACGGCTGCCTCGGGCCACGAGGATCGTGGCCCCATAGGAAACTCCACCGAAGGCCCCCCGTGGCATCGGGCCCCGCCTTGTCGACGCGCAACGCCACCCCCCCCTCAAAGCCCTCTCCTGCTTCTGCTCCTCGGTCAGAGGGGCCCCGTCCTCGCTGTCGTCGGCGCCCGCGAGGGCGGCCGCGAACGCGCCCCTGAGCACGTCGGGCCCCGGCGGGACGCCGCGGCCGCGTAGGGGGCGCGGGCGAGGATGGCAGTCACAATTGCGGTATTAAGAACTGCACATGGTTGGGTCCTTCGCCATGCTAGTTGCCTGATCTGATGTTCTGATGTTCTCTAGTTTCGTCTTGGTCAATTTTTCTGCACCTGGAAGTCGCTGGGCGCTGGCAGCGCAGATGCGACCGCAGAAAGGACGCGCTGCTAGGGGACGGACCGCCCCCTTCCTCCTCCGCGCGCACAACAGGGGTTCGCCCCCCCCCCCCCCCCCCATGCCACGTGCGAAGGGACAAACGCGATGACGAGCCCCCCTCGCGAGGGGGCGGGGCGGCGGGGCCAACGCATGGAGACGCCCCTTCCGTCGGGGGGCCTCGTTCGCTCCCCGAGGAGATCGACGCCGCCGCAGGAGAAACGCAGCCCCCCTCCGCCGCCACGGCAGCAAGGGCCCCC